AAACATATAATATAATATAATATAATATAATATAATATAATATAATATAATATAATATAATATAATATAATATAATATAATATAATATAATATAATATAATATAATATAATATAATATAATATAATATAATATAATATAATATAATATAATATAATATAATATAATATAATATAATATAATATAATATTATATAATATTATATAATATTATATAATATTATATAATATAATATAATATAATATAATATAATATAATATAATATAATATAATATAATATAATAATGTACACAAAGGAATATATATATATATATATATATATATATATAATTTGTCGCCTAGGCGCTCGCCTAGGCGTCTAGGCGTCATGGCGATCCATTGGCGCCGCGCCTCGCCTTGGCGCCGTGATAACTATGGCTGTTGGGAAGGAATGCTCTGTCATTCCCATTAAGGCACCTTACATCACCAAGCGGTCATCGGAAAGGTTGGGAAGAATGCGTTTTATAGCAACCGGAGTTCCACGCCAATAAGCTTTTAGTATCTCGCCGAATGACCCCTATATGTTTGTTTGTATCAAACTGCTAGTCAGCATGGTTATGTACTATGTATAACATGAAACTAAGAATGTACAGGTTTATGGGATGATGGTACCAAAGTTGATAACATCAAAGACAATCCCAGAGACATGTCATTGTTAACCTTAGACAAGCAACTTCCTAGATTTGTTTTTTTACCTTTCCAATTATGACAGAGTTTGAGAAGTCCAACTCAGAGGGATCAACCTCCCAATCACATTTATTTGGCAGGGGAGGTGGAACTGGCCTTGGCTCTGAATGGCTTCCATTTTGTCCCTAAAGAGTATTACCACCAAAATTAGAGCATAACAATCTGGAGGAACCAAACAAACAAGCATGCATCCCTCTCTCTAGGTGCATATGAATGTGCAAATGTCGAGTTTGACCTTTTATTCTGGAATATGTCATTTGAAGCTAAGGAATTGAACTTACATAAGATTGCCCCCCATAACACTTGAGTAACTCGATCATCCGAAGCTTTCTAGATCCTTCCGCATCGGCCAGAGGCTGTTATCATGTAGCATAATTCATACACAACATTTAGTTTCAATTCAACATACAAGGATCAAAATGAGTATTTTTTTCCGTATTTTATTCATAATAGAAATACTCTGTTTTTTTGAAAAAAATGTGCAAACGAAAAAAAAAGAGTATGTATATGTATATACCGTATTTCTCCAGCGATCTAGAGCATTGACGTCAGCACCGTAATCAATCAAGCAGTTGGCGACGTCGACCAAGCCGTGGAGAGCAGCTACGTGGAGCGGAGTGCGGTGGTCGTAATCTCTGGCCTGGACCAGCGTCCGGTCTTCCTCCAGAAGCTTCCGTACGGCCACGGCGTCGTTCTGGCGAGCGTGCCACAGAATCATTGACGTCCGGCTCGGTTTCCCCTTCCCTTTCCTTTTCGCCGCCGCCGCGTCTCCGGCCGCCGTTTCTCCACCGCCGAATTCGCCTTTGCTTCCGCTCATCTGGATTTTGGATCGTCGCCCTCTGAGCCCGCTCGCCTCGTTCAAGGTTCGTTTGCTTTTTGATTGTTTCTATTCTATATCGCAGGCGCCTGAGATTGCGAGCTTTCTGTTATTTCTCCTACCGGCTAAATTTGTCGTAAATAATGTTTCACCGCAGATCTTTAATATCTGTTGTGGCTTTGGTTTGGTAAACAAAAATATACAAACTAGTTGGTTATTTGGTTCGAGATCTATATTTTAGTTTTTTAAAATAAAAATTTTTAGCCCTAAAAAGGTTGTAACAATACTAACTCTATGAATCAATTGAAATATATAGGTTGAGTTTGGTTTTTCCGGTTTGATTTCTACCAAAACCAAAAATCAAACAATGGATTAGAGTTCAATTCGATTTTGTTTTACGTAAAATATATGTCGTAAGTGCCTAACAAGCATCTAAAAGATTTTAAATACTCTAAAGCTTTTGTATGTAAATATTAATTACGGAGACTTTACGTTTTTATAGATAATACTTTCATTTTCATTATAATAACAAAGTTTTTCATGTAAATATGATTTAAAATGTTCAATAAGAAAAACTAATTGCCAACGAATTGGTTATTTTCATTTATATTTCTATAAATTTCTTTGCATATCACATATACTCATATATACAAATCGAAGTATCTAAAAAAATTTGTTTTATTCTGTTTCATTTGGTGTTTAAAAGTGAAAACCAAACAACAATGATCGGTTTGATTCAATTTGGGGTTTTCAATTTTCCCAACTCAACCCTACGTGAAAAAGAGCCCAAAAGTTTATGCTATTACTCTCTTCGTTCTAGAGTATTCGTCCAGTTTTGACTTTTGGAACTGTTCATGTAAGCACTTTAACTTATTAAATTTTTTCAATGTGTAAGCTTAAATATAGTCATGTGTGATCTTGTTTGATTTGTGTTACCATATAGATTATTAATATATAATTTCTATAATTTTTTAATATACAAATTATAAGATAAAATGGATTAAAGAAGTTTATTTGATGATGTGTTTGAAAGTGGATAAATACTCTGGGATACTTCATTTTATGCCACGTTGCAAATTTTATTGGCCTCCCCTCATAGAATACTTCGTCCTCCTCCTATAATGATCTTCCTGGTTCATTTTACGAAGTTTGACCGACTTTATTTTCAAATCAATTTATTTAATTTAGGTGTAAAATTAAAAAATAAAATTTATATATTTAAAAACTACATCAAAAGTTCTACAAAAAAAGTGGTGACAACACTATATTATTTTATCATTTACCTAATGAAAATAAGTAAAGAAAGTGATTAAAGTTTGACCGTGTAAAAAGTGTGTGGGAAGAACATTATAGGACGGAGGGAGTACTTGGTGTACTCCGTAGGTCCTAATAAAAGGTTTCATCATTAACTTACCATGAAGAATAATAAAAAAATTGTCTAGTTGAAAATGAAGTGATACAAAAGGGAGAAAAATTATTAGGAGTGAGCAATATATATATATATATATATATATATATATATATATATATATATATATATATATATATATATATATATATATATATATATATATATATATATATATATATATATATAT